TACAATTTTTTTTCCTTTTGATTTTTTACCTGGATTACTGAGATGCATCAGGACAATTTGACATTGTGAATCTTGGGGATTCTACCTGACTGTAGGTCAATAAGAATGAACTCTTTGGTAATAAAAAAAAAACAGCTTTTAGAAATTACAACAGACTACAGATCATTTTTGAAAAAATTTTAGTTTAAAAATGGTAACTGAATTTTAAAAAATCCTCRTTTGTTTTTCTTGTTTGCATAATTTTCTCACGGAACAATGAGATGTCTGACCTTGTAGTCGTAGGCGGAGCTAAGCAGCAGGTTCTCTRCGGTTGGATGCCACTCGATGATGGCCACCCTCCTGGAGTGACCAATCAAAGTCTTCCTGGGCCTGGTGATGTTCTGTTGGACCCCGCAGGCCGGGATGTCCCAGATCTTCACCTGGGTATGAGAACGTGAGGGTTCCGTTCCTTCGCTCCAACATTAACAAGATAGGGCTGCTCAATTGATGGTTTGAGGGCCACGCCGGGCTCACRGGTGAGCTAAGTCCAGCCCACTCATGAGTTTGTTTAAATAAATTAATAAATTTAATATTAACATAAATTAATTTACATTTTAATACAAACATGACTCACGGTGCAGTCCTCCGAACACGAGGCGATGCAGTGATCGTCAAAYGGGTTCCACTTCACGTCCAGGACTCTGCCGCCGTGACCACAGACCCTCGGCTGGTGCGGCTCCACGCGGCCCGTCTGAGGGGGCAAACGGGTTACTTATTTTTTTATATTAAGAAAATGTTATTTTTTAAATTATTTCTTTATCCTTTCCTAAGCCACATGGGCGGTTAAACGTGGAGGACTCACTTACGTGATGGATGGGCAGGACCAGAAAAGCCCCGCCCCCCTCGCACTCCGTCACCACAGCGACGAAGCGGGGATTGGCCGAGCAGTAGTGGTTGTCATGGACGCTCCTGGTGATGGGCACGCCCTCGTAGCGCTGCCTCTTGGCGGCCGGCTGCCCGAAAACAAGGCGGAACTTGGAGCAGCCGAGAGAYGAGTGCCACGGCATCTGGAGGGACAGGAAGTGGATCTGAGTTTAGTTTGGATCCGGTTTAAGGATTCGTTGTTCCTCAGTTTGTTCTCTGGTTTCAGCTCTAATTCCTCAGATCCTCCTGGATTTTAATCTGGTTTTAGGTTCTCGTTGCCTCTTCTTTAGTTTTATTTCAAAATAAAAGCTGCTCTGTAATCCTGGACCTGGATCCTCCTCATGAAGACAGCTTGTTCCACCTCAGCCTGGTCTCACACAGCTGCTTTAGAAACTCAGCAGCTCTTTTATTGGAGCTGATCAATAATTCAGAATCATATCAATAATGAATCAGTTCCTTTAAGACTTCAACTTTCTGTCATCAACTGAAAACTCATGCTAAMGTTTAACCTGACCAACGACACGAAGGGTTAAATGATAAAAACCAGAGACTTTTCTGAAGAGGTTCTAAAGGTTCTCGCTGCGTTTAGCTCCGTGGCTCAGGAGATATTTCACTAACAGAACCTGTCTGACCTGAAAGATCAGCATTGGAGCGTCAAGTTGTATTAAAGTTCCAAAATTTAAGAGAGCAGTTTACAGTAAAAAGGAGACTGMAGATGGGTCAGAGACCAGAACCCACAATGAGTCCAAACCTCCTCAGATCCTCTGATGAACTCTGAAAGATTCAGATTTAAGTTCCAGATGTGAAGAGATGAAAAYTTTTCTTTGTTTTCAGTCAAAGTTAGAAAAATCTAACAGAAAAAAAAGATTTTACCTCTGGTTCTGAGGGTCTCTCTGGTCCTGCAGGTCTCTGGTTCTGAGGGTCTCTGGTCCAGAGGGTCTCTGGGTCTGAGGGTCTCTCTGGTTCTGAAGGTCTCCGGTTCTGAGGGTCTCTGGTTCTGAGGGTCTCTCTGGTCCTGCAGGTCTCTGGTTCTGAGGGTCTCTGGTCCAGAGAGTCTCTGGGTCTGAGGGTCTCTCTGGTTCTGAGGGTCTCCGGTTCTGAGGGTCTGAGGGTCTCTGGTTCTGAGGGTCTCTCTGGTCCTGCAGGTCTCTGGTTCTGAGGGTCTCTGGTCCAGAGAGTCTCTGGTTCTGAGGGTCTCT